GGAGGAAGAGGAGGGGGAAGGCTGAGAATCAGGAGGAGGAAGTCGAAGGAGGAGGAGGAGGAAGAAGATTTAAGATCAGGAGGAAGAGGAGCAAGGTTTATGATCAGAGGAGGAGGAAGAAGAGGAAGTCTTAAAAGGAGGAGGAAGGCTGAGAATCAGGAGGAGGAAGAGGAAGGCTTATGAGGAGGAAGAAGAGGAGGAAGGCTTAGGATCAGAAGTAGGAGGAGGAGGAGGAAGGTTTATGAGGAAGAGGAAGATTTAAGATCAGGAAGAGGAGGAAGGCTTCTGGTCAGGAGGAAGAGGAGGAGGAAGGCTTATCAGAAGGAGGGGGAAGGCTTGTAAGCAAGAGGAGGAGGAGGAAGAAGAGGAAGGCTTATGACCAGGTGTAAAGCCTTCCTTCCCCATCCTTGGGCAGCCTGGAAGGGGGCATCTACCCTGTGGAAAAGGTGCATCCTCTGGAGTCCTGGGGTTTGTAGTTTTTGCCCTGGACTTGAGCCTCCTCTAGAAATCCCAGGCCTCCTGGGATTGTTGTGTGCCTCCAAGTCATTTTTGACTTATGGCGACCCTATCATAGGGTGTTCTTGACAAGTTTCTTCAGAGAGTGTTTTGCCAGTGCCATTCTCTGAAGCTGAGAGAGTGTGACTTGCCCAAGGTCAGCCAGTGGCCATCTATGGTTGAGCCGGGATTTGAACCTTCATCCGCAGAGTCACACTCAAACTACTACACCACACTGCTTGTACTGGTTTAAATAATTTATAAGCCTCTTTAAGCCCCATTATTGGGGCAGAAGTGGGCTACAAATGAATGAAATAATAATAATAATAATATCAGAAGAGTTAAAATACTTAACTCCAAGCAACAGTTTCCATACAAGCCAGAAGTATCAGGTGTATTATTAGCTACTTAAACCAAAAGTCACACTCAAACTGCAACACCACACTGGCTGAACGAATTATTATTCTTATTATTAGTGCTAATAAGAATGTTTATTATTAGTGCTAATAATAATCATCTGGAGTGTCACAGTGATGGCACAAGCTTGGCAAAAGAAAGCAGTTTATTATTAGTACTATTATTAGTATTATTAGTATTTTTAACATGTTTATCTTTTGAACTGTATTTTATTTATGTACAGTAATTTGTTTTAATATTGTAACAATTTAATTCTGTTTCAATGTACCATTTTGTATGCTTTTCATTGTACTGTTGTTGTTTTTAATGTGAGCTACCCTGAGTCCCAGTTTTGGGGATAAGGGAAGGATATAAATATGATGATGATGATGATGATGATGTAGTCAGTTCTTGTATTATTATGTAGACAGATCTTTGAGATTAACTGAAAGAAAGAAGTTAGTCTAGGAAAGCTCATGCTGCCAACTTTTCTTTTGGTGAGTCTCAAAGGTGCTACAAGATCTCTCTACATACTGATTCTACAGACTAACACAGCCATATCTTTGCATAATAATAATAATAATAATAATAATAATAATAATAAGTGATAGTGGTCATCTTTCTAAAGGAGCCGGTCTGAAAGCCTCCCCCCCCCCAAAGGATTCAAGCGAAGGACTGTGTGTGTTTTGTCTTCCCAGGCTCTGGTTGTGTGTTGTTGTGTGTTGGTCATTTTATGGCCCTGGTTGGTTGCCATCACTGTGCCATTCCAGATGATGATTATTAGCACTCGTAATATTCATTATCATGAGTTGATCTCTCTCTTGCTTGCCTCGCAAAGGCTTTTTCTTGCAAGCCTGGGGTTGCCCCCTTCTTTCTGCCCCTTTCTGGCCTGGCTGCCCCATTGCTTGTCCTTGGTTGAAGGTTACCAAGCGAGTGCGGATAATGATTGACCAGGGAAGGAAGGAAGGGAGGGTGAAGCCTCGCCAGCCTTGTTTGCCAGCTGCTCCGAGAACAACAAAAGCCAAAGGGATCGATGCGCTGCCTCTCCCAACCCAGCTGGCCTTCCTTGCTATATTGCAAAAGCCTTGTGACTGTGTGCCGTCGAGTCATTTCCAACTTAAGGCCACCCTCTCATGGGGTTTTCTTGCCAGGTTTCTTCAGAGCGGGTTTGGCATTGTCATCCTCTGAGGCTGAGAGTGTGTGACCCCCCAGGTCACCCAGTGGGTTTCATGTCCCAACTGGGAATTGAACCCTGGTCTCCAGAGTCAAGGGGTCATCTAATTCCCAGCCGCAAAGCCTATATATATGCTTAAATCCAACTCTCTTCCTTATGCCACATTCCCATCTGCCACACCGTCTCTACCCACTCAGTGGGTTTATATGGCCGAGCCAGGATTCGAACTCTGGTCGCCAGAGTGTGGGTGCGACTTTGTGGGTCCAACGCTCAAACCACTATGCCGCGGTGGCTTTCTATTAGAAAGGTGTGTGTTGTTTGCCTTCACTTTGGTTCCACCCCTAAGGTGACACTCTCAAGGGACTTTCTTGGCAAGGTGTGTTCAGAGAGGGTTTGCCATTGCCGTCCTCTGAGGCTGAGAGAGTGTGACTTGCCCAAGGTCAACCGGCCAGGCTGGGAATCGAATCCTGGTCTCCAGAGTCCTAGTCCAACATTCAAACCACTACGCCACGTTGGCTCTCTATAAGACAAGTGGTGTGTTGTGGGCCTTCAAGTCATTTCTGACTCTGACCCTAAAGCGAACCTATTATGGGTTTTTCTTGGCAAGATTTGCTCAGAGGAATTTTGCCATTGCCTTCCCCCAAGGCTGAGAGCATGTGGCTTGACCAAGATCACCCAGCAGGTTTAATGACTGAGCAGGAATTGAACCCAGATCTCCAGAGGCATAGTCCAACAGACCCTTCCCCAAAAAGCGAGGATGCATAGCTATGCCTACAGGTGTGGAAGGAGATGGATTTCAATTGTTGTTGTTGTTGTTGTTGTTGTGTGCCTTCAAGTCATTTCCAATTTAGGGAGACCCTAATACAAATCTTTTTTCTTGGCAAGTTTCTTCAGAGGTGGGTTTTGCCCTCGCCATCCTCAGAGGCTGAGAGAGTGTGACTCACCCAAGCTCACCCACTGGCTTTACATGGCCCAGCGGGGGAAATTCCAACCCTGGTCTCCAGAGTCAGAGTCCAAAACTTAATCCACACTGGCTTTTGCAGGATTTCATTCCTCCCTAATCTAAAGAGTCATAACAATCAGGGTTTGGGGTTGGAAGCCCACATGTCTGGGGTCCAGCCTCTGGACCTCAGGGGGTCCCGCAACCCTGTTGTATCTCAAAGGGGCATCAAAGTGGGTCCTTATTGTCCTCTGAGTGGGAAGGAGTCATGGGTTGGAGGAAGGAAGGATGTAGGCGTGGGGATAATGTCTCTTGCCACCCCATCCTCTCTCAGACAAAGAACTGGGGATGATGGGTGTTCCTCCTTTGTAGTATCAGGCCCCACCATGAATGGGGCCAATAGCTACCTTGCTCACTCACCCTCCCACGGCTCCTACCATGGCGTCTTTCTTATTTTCAGATTGGGAGATCCCCTCTACCAGTTTTCCGACCACTTCCCTGCCATCTCTGGTGTAGGACATTTTAAAAATGTAGGACATTACACAATCATTCAATCTGATTTAGTGGAGAAACACTGCATGTAGTGTAAACACTGATTTACACTAAATTCAGTGTAAAAATGCGAATTAGTGTCAAAACACTAATTTAAATATAAATTCGTTTCATATGTTATATTTACATATTACATATACTATATTACTGTATTACATATACTGTATATTATTATTATTATTATTATTATTATT